GCCCCTGGCGGGAGAGGCGCGCGCCGGCCGCCTCGCAGGGCCGATCTGCTTTTCCCCCCCTGCACCCCCGCCCGGAGCAAGGCCTGGCCGCCCAGGGGACATCTCCTACAGCCGGCATGTTTGCTAAAAATATAGAAATGCTTCCCCCCTGCCCCTAAAACCAAAGCACCACCCCCAAAGACAACACTTTTTTTTTTTTTTTTTTTTTTTTAAAAAAAGGTACTTTCTTCTTACCATTGCAGCACCAATGAGGCCCTAATGGCTGTGTCGAGCTGCTGGTATCGCTTTCTCCCCCCCCCGGAAGGAGCAGCATGGGTTACCACACGTAGCGCTTAGAAACAGCCCCCTCCAGGCCAGGTTTCACCACCCAGTAATGCACAAAAAGCCTCCCTCCCCTCTCCCCCCAACTCTCACAAGCCATCAAGAAATCGCAAATTTAGCCCAGTGACCTTTCAGAGGTGGGGACTGCAGAAAACATTAGAAGTAATGCGTTTGTTTTGATCAAAATATATTTGAGGTGGAAGTTCTCGATGTTGCAGATGGCGGCCGCTGTCAACATTCAGGGCTGTTGCACAAGAAACAAGAGGAGGAAGAGTCTCCCTGGGGAGGAAGGACACACAGTTGCAATTTCAGCACGATGAAGAGGTTCCACTTTGCGTCTGGGCCATGGCTGCCTATCCTCCCTTTGGTGTGATTATAGTCCTGCCGATTTTGGACCGGAAAGTCACTTACGTTAAGCCGATCATAGCTGCTTATTCTCTTACAATTAACTAATACAACCTAAAAATCCAACAAAGTTCTTCAAACAAACTTTAAGCCCTTCCTTTCAGTCATTCCTTGCTGGATTCGCTGTACCTTGGCACACAGCTGTGCTCACAGAAAGCACGTTTTCCCTGGGCTTTGCCAAAACCTATTCTTGGATATCCCCCCGGCCCCCCCGGCACGCGTCCACCGCTCGGCGTGGTCAGCACGGCACAGAGCGTTTCACTCACGTATGGCAGATCCTCTCCGGGGATGGGTTCGTTCTGCACCTCCTCTCTTGCAGCAGCAGCTCCTGGGTTCGCAGGGAGGGCTCGATAGCTCTGCGCTGTCTGGTAGCATTGCCCTGGACATGAAGGTTTCTCTCCAGTAAACTGGAATATCCGCTGCTGAAAGCAGTAAGATCAGTCTGACTTTCCGACTGCCAGGTAAAATAGTAGGGACAGACAGAGTTCAGTACCTTGCTAGGAAGAACTCATTAAAAACCAGATTCTTCGTATCCAGCAAAAATATTTTATGCGGGGAGGGCAGAAGGAATGCACAGCGGACAAGATGTATTGTAATCAGATACAGTTTTAATAAAATGTACATAAGTTTACAACTCAACATTTCTTCATAACGATTACCAGAAACACAGATGATCACACCTGGAGTGCAAAACCTGACTCCATCAAATCTGCAAGTCAGAGGTACTTCCAAGACCGCTAAGAATTACCGTAATAACAGTGCGGTGCAAACTAAACACTGCTCCTAGGACACGAGTCACAGATTGTTTGTCACAGTTAGCGGAGACCACGGACGGTCCCAGCTCCGGCTTCCCGCTCCACGCAGAAACAAGGGATTTTCTTTCGCTGCTGGACTCGGCATGTAGGGATGCTCTACCAGCTGCATCCTACATGGGAGCTTGCGGCACGGATCGAGCACCCTGCCCTCCCCACCCCTGCGAGCAGTATCGTCTCCCTTTGGAAGGGAGGGATCGGGGAACAGCGGATCATCGTTATCCCTCTAACTTCACAGCGGAGTATTTCTAGGCGTGTGTGAGGGTAGTTACCCTGCCTACAATGGAAACTACAGGTCGTGGCTTATTTTTAGAAACACTAACAGAGCTGATCAGGTTTTAGGAATGTGTTTCAGAACTGGAACAGCATTTCACTGTCAAGACACTACTGTAAAAATGCTTTGGAGTCTTTCGGTGTACTGAAAGGCCTTGATTTAACACCATGAGAAAAAAAAAAAAACCACAAACACAAAAATTCAACTCCCCAACACAAGAGTCTTTGGTGGAAGCTGAGTTAAAGTAACCGATTACCACTTTGGAGTGATTGAGAGTTCAGCAATTAAACAGATCTCGCTCAGCCTTGCTTAAGTCCTGCTGAACACATGATTCAGGCGCTGTGTGTCATGATTGCTTACACGGGTTTGCCGTTACAAGCTTACTAACACCTATGTGCTCCATGCATAGGGTGCATTACAGATTGAGTGTGCGCTGGCTTCAAGAGACTAAGATTGTAAACTTAATACCATGTACAGCTAGTGCTGAGCTGGCTGCAAGAGGAGATGTGGGGAAGGTCCCCCAAAAATACTGCAGCAAGCTGCGGAAAGTGCAGATTACCACCACGGCAGCTGGTCCCGTGACATGCACTGTACAAACATCAGGGCAGCGAGGCACAGAGAGCCAAGCCAACTGCTTTTTTTTTTTTTTTTTTTTTCATGCAGAAACTGATTAATCACTTTGAAGAGAGACTTTAAGTGCATTCAAGCTGAAGTTGGCAATGGGTAAGAACCAGTCCCTTTCCCAGCACGAATCTAAGATTGTCACAGGACTGCAGCGGTAACTGCGGCCCTCTGGCTGTGCATGAGGACCCAGGGCAGTTAACAGAATTTACTACAGCTTTAAAAAAAGATGAAACCAGTGGTTCTGTTCAGAAAACCGACCTCAGAATGCAGCATTGAGGCCATACCACTCTTATTTCATTAAGATCACCAGTTGTGTGGCAAAGAAAACAATTAGCATTATTCTTCCACATTCATTAAAAACAGTAAGCTTCAGAGACTACGGAAATGAAATTTCCGCTTACAATTCATCATGCTGAAGCTGCAGTACTGGCAGTGCAGGATTAGAAGGAATACAGGCTGGAAATGAGAAGGACGTCAGACTAACAGGCATTGAAATTCAGTTTTCTGACCATAACCAGAAGTCCCATTACTTTATAGGTCACATGCAGAGATACAAACAAGCTGCCTCCACCCCCCAAAAAGAGTTTTAAAACCATTTAAGCACTGGATGTATGCTGGCAGGATCATTAGCTTCTGGGGCACGGTTAGATTGCTCTTTGTGTAAAGTGCTTGAAGAACATAAAAGCTGCCAAAATGCTAGCTGGAAATTCAGCCTGACCCAACCTGAATCAGGGCTGTAAACAAGCCCGCACACCTCGCTGCGCCTTGGTGCATTTTCCCTTTCTCCCTCGGCTGGCAGTGCAGGATAGCAAGGTCTGAACGACAGGCAGCTCATCTCCACCTCGCCGACACGAACACACACACAAGAGACAAGGGGCCCCGATCCGAGCATGAAGGGGAACAGGCTCATGCTGCTCCAGCATCGGCTAAATGAGACCTGGACGTGGCATTGAAAGAAGTTTCACAGAATTATCCCAAAGCAATTTTTCAAGTAAAAATGAAGGAAAAGGAAGGAGAACCTGAATCCAGTTAGCAGAGGTAATACCTTGAACCCACATCTTATTTGTACACGGTATCTGCTCGCTCCAGCGAAGCATCTGCCTGTTCCACAGATTCATCCCTGCGCCGCCAAGGCTTGACCTCCCTTCCAACAGCTTCCCGAGCGAATTTAACAGCTCGAGGACGAATTCAGCCTCCTGGCTGCATGCACGGCCATGACACAGGTTGCATGTTGAAACAAATCTCGGTCCTCGAGCTCAGACTCCTTGGTATCCCTTGAATTCACAGTTTGCTATCGCAGTCATTCTCAGCATCTCTCACTGATCCAATCCAGCAACAACTGACTTGGGGGTTATATATTTAAAACAAAATCAACAACCGCCTTTTGAGTATATATTTAAACAGAAAATGACAACAAAACACAATAAACAACAGCCTCAGCTTCGCTGAAGAAACATCTCGAGGGAGACCCCGAAATGTCTTTACAGTACTTCTGTTTTCAAAAGGTGGTGATGGAGGACAGAAAAAAACCCTAAACCACCAGTATGCACCAATATTACTTCGAGAGCAGGAGAGCAGGGCAGAAGGTTCCCAGCTCCACACAACCCGACCTGACCTGGGCTTGACAAGTCACTATTTGCCAGCAACTGGGCTGCGCAAGCCAACATAGCCTCCCTGCTTTCAAGTGTTCTCCCTCCCCACCCCAGGGCTTTAAGACCTCAGTCCAAGCTTCTCCTTCTCCCTTCCAGGCAATGCCCACGCCGAGCACATCCAGCAGAACATTTGGCTCATCTCTTGCGACTGGAGATATTTTGGAGGAGAACTGAACTCGGGGAGGGGAAAGGAAACATGGAGCAGTCAGTAACTCCTATTTGCAGATGCTTTGCTAGTCAGCTCCTGGCCTTCAGGGTTTTTCCATCCATCCTCCCCTTACATTGCTGGGCTTAAAAGTCAGCAGCGAGTCAGCCCTGGACTGTGCGATGTTCTGGTTTGT